CACCTCGAGTACTGTGTCCAGTTTTGGGCCCCCTACCATAAAAAAGACATTGAGGTGCTGGAGCGGGTCCAGAGAAGGGCAACAAAGATGGTGAGGGGTCTGGAGCACAAGTCTTATGAGGAGAGGCTGAGGGAGCTGGGGTTATTCAGCCTGGAGAAGAGGAGGCTGAGGGGAGACCTTATTGCTCTCTACAACTCCCTGAAAGGAGGGTGTAGAGAGGTGGGGGTCGGTCTCTTTTCTCAAGTCACAGGCGACAGGACAAGAGGAAATGGCCTCAAGTTGCGCCAGGGGAGGTTCAGGCTGGATATTAGGAAAAATTTTTTCACCGAAAGGGTTCTCAGCCATTGGAATGGGCTGCCCAGGGAGGTGGTTGAGGCACCATCCCTGGAGGTGTTCAAAAGACAGGTTGATGTAGTGCTGGGAGGTATGGTTTAGTGATGATGCTCCTTGTTTGTTGTGTGTCTATTTTTGTCAGTTAGGTTGACGGTTGGACAAGATGATCTTTAAGGTCCCTTCCAACCTAGAAGATTCTGTGATTCTGTGCAGCCGATGAGCAATTACAACAGTTGGCTGTACCTCGGGTAACACCTATGTCAGCGTGCACTTGTGTGAGAAAGCGGTACGTCCAGCAGTGACAACTGTTACACCCAGATCTGCCTGGACAGAGGCAGACAGGACGATGTCCTCACCCTGTGGCGCTTGCCCTGGATCTTCGTTCGAGCAATTTCGGAGCTGCTGCGCCGTGGTCCCCGTCGGCGCACACGAGCATAGTTGGCTTCCTGGAATTCCTTCATCTTCTTCCTCTGTAGCCGGAACTGATGGCTGCAGCTGACATTGTACCTCAAATGGCAGAAGCAGAGCAGCAGTTAGGAAACAGCAACCATTTAAACCCGCTTCTCCTTACGCTAGATGGGGACAATACTCCTCTTTTACCATGAAATTCTGTTCCTCCTCCTTTTAAGACTTCCCCATGGAAGGAACCAGTCCAGACTTCTGACACAAGCAATATTTGGACACCAGAGTCTTGATCTAACATCTGAAGGGTCAATTAAGTCATTCCTCTAAGGGAAAAAAGACCCATAGCAAGCACTCTGCTATCAAGAGGAGAGAGCAATGACTAGTCTTACTTCTCCCCACTTTTTTCCCCCAGTGCTCCCTTGTGTCTTTGTCTAGTACCAATGCAGCAGACAGCTGCCAGTATGTAATTCGTTTAGTCAGTCAAATGCTCATTTTACTGAAGAGAGGTGTTTTGGAGCCCAAGAACTTCTCCCTTCCCATTTTGTTTTCTGAGCAAGTCAGAAACCCTGTTTACACTCCACACCACCTCTCCAGACCTAAAACCATTCACAAAACATATATAGTCCTAAAGGATCCCTGTGGCGAGTGCATCCCATGGAGGGAGGATGAGATGTACTGAAGTGTTGTACACTACCTAGAGA